GGACACTTTGTTACTTTTCCACTCCTCAGTCATGAGACCCCTCAGGGCAAATGATTACCCTGTGGGCTGCCCAGACAGACTGAGATAAGAGAGGAAACAGATTTACTGAGTTGCAAAACCCCTCCCCAAGGCTTGTTTATCATAATTGTGAAAGTCACAGACTAACCTTAAGACCCCTTTAGGAATTCCCACCTGCGCACAAAGCATCCAGGTGACTGCTACAATGACCCTCCTGGGGTGACAATGATGAACACCACTGCCTACTGAGCATGCACCCATGACGCAACCAGGAAGAACAGAACAGACCAAGGAACAGAACAGACCACCTCCAGTGACACTGGCCTATACCCCTTAACTCCTTTCCCTATAAAAGACCCTGAACTGCTCCCCTCTGGGGGCTAGCTTTACTGTCGCTACCCCCCTTATGCATAAATCTATCTCCTCTTTCAATAAAGCGTTGCTTGCTTTATTGTTGGGTACATTGTTTATTTCTATGACTTTGGAATCCGAGAGCCTAATTTAATCACTGGCAAAAATTGGAAAGCTTTGGACAGCAGAAAAGACTCTAGCTGCAGGAGGCAAGTGGCCACTGGGACTATTTTGCTCCCATGTCTCTGCTGCTGGTAGATCTCTCTCCTGGAATTCCTGGCCTAAATTCTGACAAGGCAATGCCTTATTCTGTTTATCTTTCTCTGGTTTTCTGAGCCCTCTTCTGTTTGGTTGGATTGTATCCACTTCTGTATAGGTGCACCCTGGAGCGCTCCTGGCTATGCTTTGTTTTTTTGATTTAAATCTAGTTGATACTTTTCTTCTTCATGCTGAAAACAGTGGGGAGAACTGCTTTTATCAATTACTGTTAATGGAATAGGTTGGCCCCGCCGATTAGGACTATGCTACACTGGACCCCACTGCTCCTCTTTTCTCTTTGTTTGTTTTCTTGGTTAGACATTTAGTTGAGTACCGGTAATCTGAATTAACCTTCCAATCCTTGCATCAACTTTTGGACTTTCAGGTCATTTGTTTAAGGCAAGATGGCAAGCCAAGCCTGACCTGTCGGTAACAAGATGACTGGTGGCTGGCAGCTCCTAGGTAGCTTCAGGATGGGGGCTGGTCAAGAGATAGACCAAGACATGATTAGAGGGTTGGGACTTTTCAGCCCCCTCCCCAGAGATTGGGCTGAAGATTGAGTTGATCTCCAATGGCCAAGGATGTAATCAATCATGCCCACTAATAAAGCCTACACAAAAACCTGAAAGGACAGGGTTCTGGAGAGCTTCTGGAGAGCTGAACACGCATAGGTTCCTAAAGGGTGGCATGCATGGAAAGGGCACGGAAGCTCCACATTCCTCCCATACCCTGCCCTATGCATCTCTTCCATCTGGCTGTTCATCTGTATCTTTTGCAACATCTTTTATGACAAGCCAGTAAATATAAGTGTTTCCCTGAGTTCTGTGAGCTAGTCTAACAAATTAACTAAATCCAAGGAGGGAATTGTGGGAACCCAGATTTATAGCCAGTAAGCCAGAACCCCAGGTAAAATAACCTGGGACTTGTGACTGGCATCTGAAGTGGGGTGGAGTCTTGTGGGACTGAGCCCTCTATCTCCAGGTAGTGTCAGAACTGAACTGAATTAAAGGATACCTAACTGGTGGAGAATCTGTGGCAGAATTACGTGCTTGCTGGTGGGAAGAAATCCCCACGCATTTTGGGGTCACAGAAGTGTTCTGTACTGAGAGAGAGTAGGAGAAACTGAGTTTCTTTTCCCTATATAAAAACAACTGAAACAAAGCCAATTTTCTTGGCTACAGAACCTCTTACAGCCTTTCATATGCTAATATGCATTGTGATTTTTCCAGCAAAATGCTTGAGTATGCAACACATTCAAAATTTTCTTGAGAAAAAGCTGCCCAATGCAAATATGAATTTTCAGTAACTTGGACTAGTTGGTGGATGAATACCCAGCAATTCAGAATAGCTAAGATGTACTAAATGTTTTACTATGTGCTAGGCACTATGTTCATTAGGCATGCATTTTCTCTTTTACTCTTTATGACACTCCTTTGAAGTAGGCACTAAGAAACTAAGAAAACTAAGGCTTAGTAAAGATAAGTAATAGTCACTTTATTCACTGAAATAGCAGAGACGTGGGCCTAAATTAAGGAATGGCTGTGCATTATCAGTTTTAATATTTATTCAATTACCTGACCATCAGGCTACACAATTCTGTTCCAGAAAGATGCACTTCCCTATAACAACCCAGTAACCCTCTTTCCTCTTCCACAAGAAGAAACACCTGTAAGACTTTTACATTAGGTATAGTTTGTTGGTTATACACTAAAAAAAGAATGAACAAGCCAGGGTCCAGTTTCATAAACCA